CAGTCTCGCGAAAACACGAATATTTGTCTATTCCGATGTCGTATTGATGAACCGTTAAATACGTTAGAGACTACACTCATAGATCTTCAATTTGGTAGGTAGATAATCCCCTAATTCCAAGTATATTGGGAGAAAAGCTCGGCTACATTTGACCTAAATTTCAACATATTTATGAAAGTTTTATTGTGATGATCTTTGCCAACTTTTGTTCCACAACTCACTTGACTTCAAAACATAACATATGACTATCATAAGACGAAAATAACTCATAACATAACCTCCTTATCATTTTGAGCACCCTAGTCTCATCCCAAAAGTATGTGTTATAACTTTCCAACTTGTCGACTTTCGACAAAACTTATTTTCTTCAATTGGTTTAGCTTCTAAGCCTTCCATCCCTCTTGGTACTTGCAGTCCATGATCTTAAGTATTTTAACCTCCAAGTTAACATGATCAACTTACTTTATGTACTTTCAAAGATGATCTTATTTCAGAGGTTACATCAATTGACTTGCGACGTACTATCACATACGAAACTATGGGGTGTTACAATTTATTGATACAACCTCGTAACAGATTGATATAGCGAATATTGAGTTTTGTTGTATGTGTTTGATACATCAAAAATAATATATTAGCTATGAATAGTAATTACGCAAATTATAGCTACGTGGAGTAATTAGCTATCAAATTATAGTAATTTTTGAAAGTTCCCTTTTTTCTTCATGTTGAGTAAAGTACTCTCACGTAATTAGAGAAAGTATAAAACCTCAATTAAATGTTAAAATAGCACGGGCTAGCCAGTTTTCGGACTGGTCATTCAAAAATAGCCAGCGTTTGCAAAGTCATTGAAAAATAACCACTATTTTGCTGCAACACGAAAAGTTCCAGCATAATATAATGGAGATCGATGCACCTGTGTATGAACTTCCAGCATATTATGCTGGAACTCCAACATGCGCAAAGTTCCAGCATAATATACTAGAGATTGGAGCACCTGTGTATGAACTTCCAGCATATTATGTTGGACCGGTATACTATACTGGAACACCAGTATATTATACTGGAGTTCCAGTATAATATACTGGAATGCTGGAGTATTTTTCGAATTTTGAACAGTTTTATCATTCAGATTTATTTTTACATGAAAAGTGGCTAAATTTCGATTCTTTTGAAACTGTGATTATTTTTGAATGACCACTTGTAAATCTGGCTATTTTTTAATTTCTCCCCAATTAAATACTCCATCGTTTAACAAAATCAGAAGATAGTCTTCTCATGGGTTGTTTGGTACAATGGTGGGATATTCCATAGGGTTAGCTATTCCACCTTCTATATGGGATATCTAATCTCACAATTTTTATGTAAAAGTTATTCCGTTATTAGCTAATACCCCAAGCCAAACACGTGATAAAGTTAATACCAAAATTTATCTTGAGATTATTATTCTTATCTCATGTATCAAACGATCCCTTACGGTATTATCTTATTACTAGCATAGCACATGCGCTATGCGCGGAGAATATAAATCATATTGTGTGATTAAATTTATTTGACTACATTATATCTTGTTGATTGAATTAAATTTCAATTTTTTTATCCAGTGAAACATGCATAATAAGAAAATCTTACGAAAATAAAAAAAAAAGATTCATATGGTCATTGAATAACTTTTAATTTCCTCACTTTTCTTTATTACATATTCTAGTATATTTAATATTTTTTCATTTGCTATTATGACATTTTATTAGCTTGTTACTTGACTTAATATTTTTGTTAATTCTCCCTTTTTAATGTAATATTGATATAGATATATATTTTTCTTACTCCTAGCTTTCGAGAAGTTTAACCACGCGATATCTCAGTGAACGTATTGGAACTCGGTAGGAAAGCCAGACAGATTTTGTTCCTAGGAGGTGACCCGAATAAATGGGCTCAACAACAATCATTGACTCGTTAAGTGAAGTTAAAAAGAAGCTAAACCAAGACTCAATGGTTCGCCTATCGGCTAAGAAATTTAAAAAATGACGAAGGATTATCGCTGGATGGGACTCAATACTCCCCTTCTATATAGAGATCTTGCCTCTGTCGCTGCATAGAGTGATCTTCTTCAATCTCCGAGTTCGAAGGGTAGAACAAGGGAAGGTCAGGGCTTTTCTCTCATTACTCTTTCCACGGCAAAGTCAGCATCTTAGCCCGAAGAGCAAGGATTTCTTCCTCTGCGTCTGCTGCTATTGATGTGTCTACTCCCATTGACTCTTTTTGAGTAAGATCAGTAGGCGATAAGCTCACATCCGGCTCCATAGAAGGAATGATCAGAGTCATCTTATCTTGACTACTCCCTAGAAGACAGAACTCTTAACGATGCTTTGAATAGCAATCTTTCGTACCCCATTTAATAGAGTTGCTGGGAAAGCTTAATAGAGTGACCAAGCTAGGACCTTAGACGAAGAGAGTGTCCAACCAATCACGACAAGCAATAGAGCACTGACCTAAACTATACCTCTTCTAAGGCAGAAAGAAGGTCAACCTCACCTCAGGTAATCACACCTTTATTTCTCGACGATCAAAGAGTCAAAACTAGTTCTTGCTCCAGCATGAAAATTCCATTTCAGGGAAGGACGACGTACTGTGATACTTTCTGTTTTGTCGAGCGCTGCTTTGGTCTCTGGTTTGATAGTTGTACGTGCTAAAAATCTGGTGGTTAAGCTTTTGAAGATGCCTAAATGCACTTTCGCCGCATCGAGGAGTTTTTTAAAGATCCGGAGCCAAGCCTGCGCACCAAAGCGCTCGAAGATCAAGAATCAGTCTTTCATTGTTAAATAGACTGGAAGTCTTTGGCTAGTGCGCTGACCTTTTTCCGCTTTCTACCGCACGCTTCAACTATTTGTTTATATAGTGTGTGAAGTCTAACTAATGGAAAGTGCCTATGAATTAGTTCCAAGAAACTGGCCGTTCACGTCAGGAATAGAGGCCGTTAAGGATGTGATTGCTTTTCCTTTTTTTCGTCGAGATTGGGTTGGTAAAAAAATTTTCTTTATATTTTTTTTCCACTGTACATCTTCACCTGAATTCGTCCAAAATATAAATTAATATTTTCTTTATTAGTTATAAATCTAACAATGTTTTTTAATTATTGTTTTTATATTATATGCCTAAAAATTACGTCTTTCTTCTCTGTTCACTTTTTATTAAAATTTTAATTTTTAAGATTTAATTATTGAAGTCAACTATCTTTTAGAACTAAGCTTTGTTGCTTGGTATTCTTCCATTGCCTGAAATTTTTGGTTTTTGACTTTATTTATTAAGATTTAAGCTACGTGATATTTTACATATTTTTTTTTTGTCATCATTACTCAAAAATGCTTTCTGGTTTGAAATTTTAATGAATCTTATCATTTTATATTTTATATCATTTTTTTTCTTTTTGTTCCCCGATTACCGTTATTGTTTTATTCGCTGCTCAATATGATTATACTATCATGGAATTTTTTTATTAGTCTTTTAAATGTAATGTCCTTGCTTATTACCTCCTTTAATATAACATATATAATATAAAATTCTTACTCTTAAGAAACTTGATTATTAATTTAATATTCTTTTACTTGAAATTCATTCAACATTCTATATCTTTTTATTTTTGACGTTATATATTACTCTTATGATTTTAGTTACGTTTTATTAATTGGATGAATTTTGTCATCATAATTCAAAAGACTCTTTCTCATCTCAAATTCAAATAAGTTTTATCTCTATAATTTTATAATAAATTTTTTCTATTTGTCTTGTGAGTGAGTTTATTTATTCGTTACTTAAAATTATTTCATTGATCACTATTATTTAATTTAATTTTATTAATATTTTAATTACGTGGTATCATATGTTGTATTTTTTTCCATCATATTTAGAAAACTATTTTCTCATCTTAAATTTAAAATAAGTCTCATCATTCTATATTTTTTACTTTTTCGCAATATGCCATTTGGCTTCATATCAAGATTGACTACTGTCCTGTTAATATAATTTAGACAACTTTTAATATATTTTTTTCATATCAAGCTTGACTACCACTTGGCTTCACTTTCAAGCTTGCTTAATTCTTCAATTGTCTAATTTTATCAATAATATATTAAGTTTTATTTACTTACTTTCTTTTATTTCTTAAATTTAGTATTTCTATAATCTATAACTGAAATTTATTCATAGTTAATATTAATTTTAATTTTTTGCTTTGCTCAAAGTATATATTCTTTTATTATTTCTTATAAAAACGTATCAGTATTTTTAATATTTATTTTTTACATTATACGAAATAGGCAATTAGACTTTTCTTCTATTTTATTTTCAATATAAAGTTTTTTATATTTTTTATTATGTTGCTTGTAATTATTTTAGTATTATGTATATTTTATTTTGCGTGAATCGATAATGACCTGCTAGACCAATATAAATAGGAGAAGAAAGAAGAATGTATTTAATTTTTTAAATTAATTCAAATATTCTTGTCTCTCGATTCAAATTTATAAGCTTTATCTCAATTCAAGTATTTTTGTATATGAATTCAAATATATACAATTATATAATCTAATAATAATATTAAAGATTGTGCATTTCAGTTTTCAATTTCAAATATACTCTTAGAATTACAAATTATCTACATAAATCTGTAATATAGATTTATAATAGATTTTTTCCCATAAAATCTAGTTAAATTTTATCTTTAAAGGGCGAAGTAGATATTTCTCTATACGACACTTGGCTTGACCCCATGCTTCACTATTATTCTTTTCATATAATACATGAAGTTGTATTATTTGTTGGCAACTTCACAATTTAAAATATAATAAGTTTTAGAATAAATAATTTTTAATATGTAAAAATTATTATTTTCGTTAAATAAAGAAATTAAGTATGTTTAAATATAAATTCAAAAAGAATAACTAATAAGTGGGACCCAAAAAGAGTAACACATAGTTCTACCAGCAGTGCATTTTTATTTACCTATATTCTACTTATTTAGAAGCGGGAGTTTAGCAGCTCTTCGTCGTCCTCAGAGGGGTACTTTGGTAATTCCATGTGTGATCCTTCTATCATGATTTTCGAATGTCTATTATGCCCCTTCTAATAGTTTCATGACTTAAATCTTTCTCGACATTTGCATAAATAACAGCAAAAACAAGGGCAACATTAGACATGGAAAGGCGGCACTACAATGGACCCACCACATTGACGACGAAGGCTCTCCGCCGTTTCGCTCTTCTTCAACCTGAAGCTTTCCCTGTCTGATGAATCTAATTTGTGTCCCTTACCTCCCTGGATATACTCTCTTCCTTATTAGGTTTGGAATTGAAATTAGGAACTTTTTTAGGCTGCATATTAAATTCTTTTCTTAAATTTTTTATGCTATTTTTCATGTTTGTTGATTATAATCTAAAAAAAAAAACATATCCAGTTTTATAGGACTGACAACGGCTACATCCAATTGAAGGATTTAGATTTATTCTTGTTCTCGCTATAGGAACTTAGAGTGTAGTCAGTCACAGAATTTTATTCTTAATGATATCTGCCATTAAAAAAGCACATGGAGTAACGAGAGCAGCATATACTAATATCACTCAATTTGCAGTTTGCAGTGGAAGTGTGGAAGCCAGAAAATTATTTATCAACTCTCATATATATATTTGAAGTATCATTTGTATTAGGATTCTCTCCATTATTTTCAGCTTTTATTTTGGCTGGAGCTTGGACAAGTTGTTTGGAGTTGATTATTAGAATATCTAAAATTTAAAAAGAAAAAAATTAATGCTTCATAATCTCTATTTAGCATTTACTGCAATTATTTTTCTGTTTCTTTTAGGTTTTGGGATAGAAAGAATTAGAATGCATTTTTATTTCAATTTTAAAGTTTGAAATTTTGTGTTGATCTGAGAAAATCTTTATGATAATTTCCTTTATATATGAGAAGCCCTCTAATCTGTTGTGAATGTAACCATAGTTAATGGCGGTGTAACTTTTTTTTCCTCCGATTCTTGTGAATGAGATGAAAAATTTAAGGAGTGGTTAGAGAATGCATAGAAGATGCTTGATACATGTATCTTTCAAAGTTCATTTTTTTAAATGCAAAGGAAAAGAGAAAGAACTCCTAAAAGAAATAATCCAAAGGTGATTGTTGTATTTTGGCTGCAGCTTTGGCTATGTATTGGAGTAATTACATACTTTGTTGTGGTTATGACTTTGGAAGCTACTGCTAAAAGTGATGATAATATGTACAACAGGAAGGCAAGATGAAGAAAAAGCCAAGCAATACTTTATACGTTTGAAGAAACTAACAACATAGCTAAGTAATGGTAGTTCTACTTAACAACATCAATTAGCAACACAGTATTGTGACAGAAAGTTTTCACTTCTCTGGAATTTGCTCTTGGTAAATTGCAGGTAAGTTAGATTTGTTGTCACATTATTACGCAAGTTACTCCTTGGTCGAAAAATAGAGGCTTCCCGAGTCCCTGAAAATTACTCCTTGGTCGAAAAATAAAAATACACCATGATATATCACATGTAATGAAGTTGAGATTGCTTTGTGCAATATTTATGCATCTTGAACTACTTATCTTGGATGATTCGTTATTATGTCATTCATATGCTTGGTTGAAACAGAGCAGGAGGTAGCACTTGAGGGCTTTGCCGGAGTAGTTCGTATGGAACCTGAGAAGGCTGAGTGGTAAGGGGTTAAAAGTAATAGAATTTTGGTTTGTAGTATGATAGCTAATAAACTCCTTATCATAACAGAAGTATGATAGTTAATAAACTCCTTATCAAAAAAAGTATGATAGCTGGTAAATTGATCAACTACTTCCCACGTGTATTTGCTTTATAAAAAAAATTGAGTTTTATCTATGGGATTTATGATGTTGAAGATTGGTGGGGTATTGGATGTTGATGTTTTCTTAGTTAGAAAAATTAGTTTGATGATTTTACGCAATTAGATTACAAGGCGATAACATTTTGTATAATTAACCCCAATATTTTCTTCTTTTTAAAATGCCTTAGAACATTAAACTACCCTCTTATTGTTGTAGTGTGGCCGCGATTATGATCTTAGAGGTACTTCCATAGATACTCTAACTGTCCTCGGTAATCTGGAACTCTACCTTTTCGATTTTGCTGGAGAAAGAGCGCAGGCCTCAGTTAGAGTAAATGGAGATCACAAGCATCAGACTTAAGAGGTGGAAAGAGACTGTTGAAGAAGAATAAGAGGACTGTACGTCCAGCTTTCAAAAGCAAGGACACGAGGGGAATCAGGATTTGCCGATAATTCAGCGAAATGTCCAGTTTTTGTGGCTTAACATGCAATCATATACTATATCTCAGAAGGCATATCTCAAGGTTAACTTTCCAATACTTATTACCCATGAATGTGAACGTGGAAAATTGCGGGGTGGTTAATGAAAAAAACCTTTCTTGCTTTAGATCATTTTGAATGACAGACACACAAGGTTATCATAACTTAAAACCCACTCCTTAGGAATGGAAATTCTGGTTTGTCCGTAATTATGAAATCTTATTCATTTGTCTAAACAATAAGTTGCCTTTGTTTTGTTGTCCCATATTGTGACTTCTTATGTGAGTGATCTTTTATGATATGCTGATAGAGTGGAAGAAATTATGGTGAAGAAATGAAATGGTATACCTTAATTACCTTAAAATGTCTATTTTGTTCCCAAGCGAGTTGCAATATAGGACACCCATATTTTATTTCTTCTGTTTTTATGTCAAAACTGAAAAGTCAGCGAGTATATGTTCCACGTTAGTACATGCTACCAAGATCGAAGTTTAGATTGCATTGAAGTCAGCTAATATATTAAGAAAAGTATCTAGCAACAACATTAGCCTTGTGATACCTCAGGGACGGAAAAGCTTAATATTTTTCGTTTTCAGCAAAAATCAGCTATGTCCAGGTGTGCTATAACAAGGGATTTGAAAGTTCTAATAGGTGTACAGTCTCTAACATTCACTCTGTCATGTTTTAGGCTAATAATCACAGTGAATGATGTTGATTTCTTATTGTATCTAGATGTCAGAAATCATCCAGTTCTTATATGCTACAAGTGCAGTATTGTTTCTTTTTAGTTGATAGTTGTTAAAGTGTGACTTTCTTCTACAGCTATTGGTCTTGGTGTTTATGCTTTACCTGTTGTGATACTGTTCTATTTTGTGCAATCTGTGCATGCCGAGGAAATTTAAGATTAGCTAATAAGGGGAAGATGCAGCATACACCTACTGGGTTCAACTGAACCCTAGTTGAACCCAGTACTTTCGACGCAGAGGATAAATTTATATGTAAAAATCACTAAATTAATAGATAGTAGATATGAATCCATAACTTTACAATATAATGGTTCAGAGCTAAAGCTTTAAATGTTGAACCCATAAAATTAAAATCCTAGATCCGCGCTAATAGAATCCTTCTACTGCTGCATGATATTCAACTTATATTCCAACATAAGACTGCAGTATGTCTCTCTCAAATTTCACTTGAATTTGTACTACTGTAGATGCATTCCTGTGGATTGTTTAAAAATCGTACTTCTCTTTTTCTTTCTATCTCCATCATCGTACAGACCATGCTTTATGTAGTGGAGCTTGAAATATTTTGGTTTCTCTTTGTTCCCTAAAGTGCCCTTTTTTGGTCATTTATACTTTAATACACGAGTATTTAATAAATATAACCTTGATTTTTTTTTCCTATTTTATTCGTTGAGCCAGATTTTAGGTGTCACATACCAAATCTAGGATGATGTTGTTTCTTAAATACACGAGCGAGAATAGGAAACATAGATCCATCTAAGGCTGAGTGAAATGCGGGACATGTCTTTAGCTTCTTCAACTGGGTGTGGAGGTGGTTCTTAATATGGTAACATTAATTTTATAATCTTTCTATTTTAGAGATATCATAAAAATGAGCTTGGGCCCGGGCTCAGCACGGGCTCTGCAACAACTAGTAAGAGTTGGATGGTACGACGAAGGGCAAACTAGAAATATTGTGATTTCTTAACGGCATTCCCAAATATTCTCTGTTAAAGCTGTTTTATCATGATGGCACGTGTGAAACATCTGGATTCTACTTTCTCTTTTTCATGCTTCATAACCATTTTCCTCCCTTCTGCAGCTTATCTCTTTTTGCTTTTCTTTCTCAGTACCTTTCCTTTCTCTTATATTTTTTCCTTGCATCTTTTGCCAACATTGGACTTCAACGAGTCTGTATTATTTTTCTCCTTAGATATCTTTGCTTGATTCTGTGCCTACATGTCTGATGTCACAATCCAATTCCATCATAGGTCGTGATGGCGCCCAACACCGTTGTTAGGCAAGCCAACACCGATCAACAAGTGTTTTGCCGTTTAGATAAATTATTCAGTAGTAACATTTCCTTATTTGTTAAAAAGATTTAGAATTTTGCATGTGTAATATAAATAAGCGGAAGCAACAAGTACTAATCAGAATCATAAGTCTACTAGTGAGTGTGCCAAGACTTGGTGTCACAAGTGTGTGGGCAATCTAGTAGAATATACAAAAGAATATTGCTAGCCTACTGCTTGAGAGGAAATAGACAAAAAAGTAAAACATGTACGCTCTGACTGCCCGCCGGTCTGTGGGTAGAATGTTGTGTTGAGCTCTACACGGGTTCCCAACTCACTCTGTACGGCTCTTCAGAAATGTGAAGTGAACTGAGGGACTCTATCTGATATGACGGAAACAGGCACGCTGTGCAACCGAACTATCTCCCGAATATAAATTTTGGGCCAACTTCTCTAAAGTATATGTAGTCACAACCGGAAGGAAGTGTGCCGACTTGGTCAGCCTATCGACAATGACCCAAACTGCATCAAACTTCTGCAAGGTCCGTGGCAACCCAACTATGAAGTCCATAGTAGTGTGCTCCCATTTTCACTAAGGTATAGTCATCTGCTGAAGTAGGCCACCTGGCCTTTGGTGCTCATACTTGACCTGCTGGCAATTTAGGCACCTAGCTACATACTCCACTATGTCTTTCTTCATTCGCCGCCACCAATAATGCTATCTCAGATCGCGATACATCTTCGTAGCACCTGGATGAATGGAATACCAAGAACTGTGTGCCTCCTCTAGAATCCTCTCTCTCAAGCCATTGACATTAGGAACACATAGACGACCCTGGCGTCGCAGAACACCATTCTCGCCAATAGAAACCTCCTTGGCACCACCTAGTAGTATCGTCTCTCTGAGGACTGTCAAGTGCGGATCATCAAACTGTCGAGCCTTGATTTGCTCCAATAGTGAAGACTGGGAAACCACGCATGCAAGAACTCGGCTGAGCTCTGAAATGTCCAACCTCACAAGTCTGTTAGCCAAGGACTGAATTTCCAAAGCTAGTGGCCTCTCCTCTACTGAAATGAATTCCAAGCTACCCATACTCTCGGCCTTCCTGCTTAAGGCATCCGCAACCACTTTTGCCTTGCCCGGATGATAAAGAATGGTGATGTCATAATCCTTTAGTAACTCAAGCCATCTATGCTGCCTCAAATTAAGATCCCTTTGCTTGAACAAATGTTGTAAGCTGCGATGATCAGTGTAAACCTCACATGACACCCCATAAAGATAATGCCTCCAAATCTTAAGAGCATGAACAATAACCGCCAGGTCGTGCACAGGGTAATTCTTCTCATGAATCTTCATCTGAAGCGACGCATATGCAATAACTCGCCCCTCCTGCATCAATACATAACCCAAGCCACTGCGTGAAGCGTCACAATACACCCTATACATCCCCGAACCGGAAGGCAACACTAGAACCGGTGGTGTAGTCAAAGCTGTCTTGAGCTTCTGAAAGCTCGCCTCACAATCATCAGACCAACGGAACGGAGCACCCTTTTGGGTCAATCTAGTCGGAGGTGCTGCAATGGATGAAAAACCATGCATAAACCGGTGATAATAACCTGCTAACCCCAGGAAACTCCTGATCACAGTCACCAAAGTGGGACGAGGCCAACGCTGAACTACCTCAATCTTCTTGGGATCCACCTTAATACCCTCGCCTGATACAACATGCCCCAAGAATGCCACAGACTCTAGCCAAAACTCACACTTGGAGAACTTAGCATACAGCTTCTGTTCCCTCAAGGTCTGAAGCACCACCCTCAAATGCTGCTCGTGCTCCCCCAGGCTACGTGAGTAGATCAAAATGTCATCAATGAAGACAATGACGAACGAATCAATATAAGGCCTAAACACCCTGTTCATCAAATCCATAAACGCCGTTGGGGCATTGGTCAAGCCGAAGGACATCACCAGAAACTCATAATGGCCATATCTAGTACGGAAAACAGTCTTCATGACATCAAAGTACCGAATCTTCGGTTGATGATACCCCGATTTCAAGTCAATCTTAGAGAACGCCCTAGCACCCTGCAACCGGTCAAACAAATCATCAATGCGCGGCAACGAGTACTTGTTCTTGATGGTGACTTTGTTCAACTGGCGGTAATCAATGCACATATGCATAGTCCCATCTTTCTTCTTCACAAATAACATTGGTTTACCCCAAGGTGATACACTTGGTCTCACAAACCTCTTTGCTAACAACTTCTCAAGCTGCTTCGTTAACTCCTTCTACTCTTTCGGAGCCATGCAGTACAGTGGGATAGATATAGGCTGGGTACCTAGAGCCAAGTCAATACAGAAATCAATATCATGATCTGGTGGAATGCCTGGAAGGTCAGAAGGAAACACATCGGCAAATTCCCGAACTACTGGCACTAATCAATCTCGGAGACTTTGTGGTAGTGTCCCGAATATAAGCTAGATAAGCCAAACAACCCTTCTCGACCATATGTCGAGCCTTCAGAAAATAGATGACCCGACTCGCTGTACTAACGGAGGAACCCTTCCACTCTAATCTCGGCAACTCTGGCATCGCTAAAGTAACAGTCTTCGCATGGTAATCAAGGATGGCGTGATATGGGCAAAACCAATTCATGCCTAGGATGACCTCAAAGTCGGTCATATCAAGCAACAGAAGGTCCTCTCTCGTCTCGTAACCACAGAATGTGACCATACAGGACCGATAGATCCGATCCACAATCACAGAATCGCCCACAAGAGTGGACACATAAATAGGATTACCCAAGGACTCACGAGGAATATCCATGAAATGAGAAAGCAGTGAGGATACATATGAATAGGTAGATCTTGGATAAAATAACACCTAAGCATCCCTACCACAGACAGAAATAATACTTTTGATCACAACAACTGAGGCCAATGCATTTGGTCTGGCCAGAAATGCATAGAATCTGGCTGGAGCGTCGGTTGGCCGGCCTCCGCCTAATTGAACAGTAGCTAGCTGACCTCCCCCTACTTGGCCTCCACCTCTAGGACGACTCCTACTGCCATCTGCCTCTGGGCGGCCGGACAACCGGTGTTGTACTCATGGGCTGCTGACCCTGCTGCACTGCCTTGCCCCGAAGCCTGGTACAGAATCTCCTCATGTGACTAAGATCTCCGCACTCGAAACAGCTCCTCGGTGCGGTGATCTACTGCCCTGATGTCTGACCCTGATGGCCTGTAGACCCACTGGAAGAAGCCTAAATAGCCGGTGGGCGGTATGAACTCTCCGGCATGGCACTAAAATAGCAGCTGGAAGAACCTTGGTAGATTGAGTACCCACTGGAAGAACCCTGGATGGCTGGTGGGCGGTAAGAACTCTCTGGTATGACGCTGAAATAGGGCCACATCGGAGCACCTCGAGGAGGTGGTGGTGCTGAATATGTGGGCTTGCTAGGCTGACCCCTCCCAAACTGACCTCTACCTTTAGCTGGGGCACCTCTAAACTCTCCAGAGTAATGGGTCCTCTTGTCCTGCTACATCTGCTCTCTACCTCTCTGACGGTATCCCTTAATTCTCCGAGCAATCTCCGCTACCAGCTGATAAGAAGTCCCCATCTCAACCTCTAGGGCCATATTAGCTCTAATACCGGAGTGCAACCCCACAACAAACCTCTGCACTCTCTCTGCGTCTGTAGGAAGTATCATAAGTGCATGGCGAGACAACTCAGAAAACCTCGCCTCATAATCGGTCACTGACATCTGAC